GAATACAGGGAGATGATGAATTTTTCAATTTATTTTATAAATTTATACAGTCTGAATAGGATTGGTCTGGAAGGTAGAACTTCCCAACCTGTACAATATTAGATATTAAAAATGGATTCAAGGGAAGTTACTAAGAAATGCTGACATACTGCATATACGGAATAGTTCAATATATCCCATTATATAGAGCACCAGAAGTAATGCATTTATAAATCAAGCATTTTTTTTAGTGACGGTTTCTAATCTTTGCAGCTCTTCTACATTTATTCTAATATGCATGAGTCATAAATGTCATCAACTCAAGATTTTGTCCGTTTGGTCTCAACTAATACATACATATGTAGTAGGAATTTCATGTGAAAAAGGAGTCTTCAGTTTCAAAGTTACGAAGGAAAAATGTAAACACAGAAAAGAAAGTTAATTTCAAAGTGCTAAGTACGTTAAAAAATTCGTTTCAAAGGAGGGTACAAAGAAAAAAACGATTCTTGGGCCCTTTCTTCTAGAACATAAGCTAATTTTTAGATTTCAGTAATGATATATCCATCTATCATATTTACTCATCCTTTTCTAAGAACCTGTGTTAGATAAAAAAAAAAAATACTGCAATTTCATTCTGAATACAGATCCATTTTCTTTCTTATATGCACAGGACATGAAAAGTTACTGTAAGTTTACCCCATGCGTTGGAAACCACTTGTGCTAAAGAATCCCATCTGAACACCATGCCAGAAGATATCCCCACAATCACTCCAGTTTTAGCTGTTCCTTCCTTATTTTTAATACCATGCCTAATGACAATCTTGGAATATTTTAAAAGGAGTACTCATTGAAACCAACTGAGGGAATAGTCTGGGGTTTATAAATGTGAACTTTTGGTATTCTATCTACTAAGCTATGTTATCATATTGCCTTTGTGGAATTTTCCAAAACCTAGAGAAATTCACAACTTGTTGAGAAACCTGTTGCTTCTTCAACCCTATTCAAAACTAATTACCAGTCTTGATAGAATATCAAGAAAGAAAAAATCATCATGGCTCTGAATTACTATTATTAAAGTTTTAAATTTTTTACAAAGTTGAAGTATGTCTAGTGTTATCTACAAAACAGTAATGAAAATATTTTAAGCCATGTTTTTCTACACACCTGAAAATACAGAAGCAGCAAGAATGGTTTTTTTACAACTAATGTGTGTAGGTGAGTTAGGCACTTAGAATGAAAAACAAAACACCTTTAGACCATGATCTGTATAATGCTGTGGCCTATTGTACTCTTTTCTTAGAAAGCAGGTATCGACAGGGTACACATTATTCATTACTAGTCAACACACTCATAGTAAATGCTTATTCCATGTGTTGACTATGAAATAATTACACATGAAAAGAGCTGAGTAGTTCAGATTATTTTTATGCTGACTCAAATCTTTTCAGTGACCTTTCCACATTACATAGGAAACTGGGGAACGACTTAAGGAAAGAGTGCCACCTATTGATTATGAACCTAATGGTCTCCCTTGAGATTTAACATTTCTGAGTAAATAACAAAATCACATTCTAATGGAGGGAGAAGTGGTTCAAAATAATGCTATTAAAATAAATTCCTTACTACTCATTAAGGGTATTTACCACATACTCTCAAAGTTGATTCTATTCATTTTGATCTGAATAATTTTTAATAGGAAATCTTTCAGGTCTATTTATTATGTATACATTTCATTTTTCTCTTCCAGATGACAGTATCTATGTCCTCAACTTACACAATTAACATGCATTTTTGATCTTAATTTTAAGGAAGCATTATGAATAAGAGCTTTGTAAATCCTGGTAGACACAGATGCCATGTTGTTGTTGTTGGGTACCGTAGCGTCAGAATTGACCCATAGCTGACCCTCTGGTGGGTTTTCAGAGGCAGTTAATCTCACGGGAGGAGGCTGTCCATCCTTCTCCCAAGGAGCAGCTGGTGGTCTCAAACTGCGTGCCTTCAGATTGCAGTGCAGCTTCTTGCCACTAGGCCACCAGAGCCCCCTTTGTAAGGAAGCACTATGAATTAGAGCTTTGTAGATCTTGGTTAGACACAGATGCCACACCTCTGGCTTAGTATGTGCCTGTCTTGATTTTCTCTGTAAAGGAGTAACCCAAATATTCAAAATTCGTTGTTTAAAAAAATTGCTTTTAGAGACACCTGTTGTTGTTGATGCCTGTCGAGTTGAGTACGACTCATAGCGACCCTATGAACAAAAGACCGTACGTCTTTCTATAACTATTGTCATTTCTCAAAGTTCATAGAGATTCCAGAGGCATGTTGTTTGGGAAGTGGATGCCACTCCGAACATGTGGAATAAATGTTGTAGTTGAGAAATGTGTCTTTTGATTGATATTAAAGAATTTAAATTCATGAAGAATCATGGATATAGAATACAGCTGGTTTTATAGACGTTTCCACCTGGCCAGGAGTGTTTATTGGACAAGTACTGGAAAAAGCATATTATGTCACTTTCTGAAAAACAACATACTCTGAATATTAAACCAGCTTCTTTAAAGCTAATAAGCAATTGTAATTTAACGATAAAGTTAATTTTTACACATTTATCCTACATACTACTATTTTGTCTCAATTTTAATGTGATAATTGTACATGTTAAAAATTCCTATGTCAAATTGGTTGACTGTATATTTAATCTGCAGAATTTCTAACTATAATTCCACACAAACTAAACATCTAGTAATTCTCAAATTGCAAAGTTTACGTTTTTCCAGAAGTTTTAAGTGTTTTATTTATAAATCAAACTTTCCAAAAGGCAAAAACATGTCCATATTGCCATTCAGTCAAACATGAGCAGATTATGTTAATGAGAATTCTTCTAAATGTTGATAAGAGTCTTAAAGTAAAGATGTGTTTTCATCTGTTATAGTATTAGTATTGAAATTCACTTATTTAAAAACCACATGACTTCCTTGATGAAAATCTTTTTGATTTCAGAGTGAGGAAAAACTCAAAGGACATGCATACATGGCTTTAATACATTCACAGTAAAAATTAAGCACACAAAAAGTAAATAAAAAATGGAAAACTAGTTAGTTCTTTACTAACAGTAGTCCCCAGAATGCATCCCTTAGTTTTGATGAAGGTCCTAAAGTTGTGTGAGATGTTAGTTAGCATTAGGTGACACTGACTGAATCAAGGATATGCAGTACCTCTCTGTACTATTGTTTTTCAGTTCTGCTATAAATCCACGATTATTTCAGATAAAAAAAATCATAAAAACAAAAACTCTAACTTCAAAATAAATATTTTCAGCTGCCATAACTTGATATAATTCAAGCCTTAATTTTTAAAAAACATTAGAAGTCAGTAATATGTTGTTTATTAAAGTTGCAATCACTTTATTGCTCTAGAAATTTAGTTTTTAAACTATCACATTACATATTTAGGGATGAGGCTAGACACACACAATCAACTGTATGAGGCTTCTCCAACTTAGTGGATAAATATTACAAAAATACAAAAATAGCTAGTAACAGCTGACTTCAAGCAAGTAAGAGCTACCAAGGAGAACATTTTGTAATCTATTTCTAAGAATATCATCTTGGTCTAGATTTGGAGGCCGAACAAAAAGCAAACTGATGTTATCGATAAATTAGTAATGAATGTATCTGATAAAACCAAATTACATGCAGACAGAAGAAAATCAGCTACAAAAAAACATTACTCTGTACTAAAATATTATAAACATTTCCAATCATGCAAGAGTAATAAAGATCAAAATGAATTTCCTAAAGTTCAGGGAAGCTAAAAAGGATTTAACATAACACCCAACCCAAATCACATTTGCATAATGAATCCATTAATCCCAAAATTATCTCTGTAGGCTGTTCTCTCACAACCCTCTCCCAGACCCATTTACCTATAAAATAAACCTTTCCACTTAAACTTTTAAGTCAGATTTGATGGGTAAATATGTAATCTACAGATTAATCTTCATATAGTTGGGTGGGTATATGCTCAATCTTCAAATACATTCCTTTCAAAAGGCATCTAAATTTCTGTTAATTTTCTATGAAAATTCATGCCTAAGAAACCAAGGAAACGGACAAGTCAAGAATCTGAACCAGGTAACTCTATAAACGGTAATAATATCAAAAGCCTGTGTGTCTATTAGTAAAAGGATTTACTCAAAGAAAAGCTGTATAACTACCATATTTTCCCTCAAAACTCCCACACATGTTAGTTTCCTCTGGGGGCTTATAGGCATTCTATGAATGTACAAGTGATTTGTGTAAGCATACCATGTGAAAAACGTAAGGTACTGCTTTCTGGTGTACTTTCTGAATCACTCCAACTATTTATCCAGTAACATGTTTACATCTGAGTTTTTTTTCTTTTCTGCTTTTTAAAAAATATTCAAAGTCACAAGTAAGTAGTAAAGGATATAAATTTAAGACAGTCACTGCAAGATAAGGGTAGAATTTTTCTTATAGTGGTATATCCAAATGGATTTGTTTTATCAAAGCACAAAATCAATTTAATAACAATATGAAACAAAAATCAGTGGGAAATATATCTGCTAAAATCAAAACAAAAATTACAGCATGGCAAAAGAATACTGTCTTAAAATATACTGAATTCACACGAAATAATATTATCACAATAAACTCATGCCACATATAAAACTCAAGTTACCAATTGGGATAAGCTTTGTTTTTTAAAAGAAATAAATGTACTTCATGATATAGGCACAACAGTATGTAAAATAAATCTGGTACATTTATCACAAGAAAGAAACTCCCAGATAAGTACAACACAATAAAATTTTCTTGGAAACGTTTGAAAAAGGCTTGATTTAACATGCCAGGGAAAGTGACTTTTCACTGAGATGCATTTATGTAAATTATGTAAATTGAATTGAGGTCAGTGCAGCACACCTGGAATCTTATGACCCCCCCTCCCCCAGCAGAAGTACCAGCTGCTAATAGTGCTTACATATAACTTAACTGGATATTAAACTATGCTACTGTTGGTGCCAATCTGCTTATGAAGGCAATGCTCTGGAGACACAGTCTTCTCACAAACAGGGGGCACGCGGGTTTCATGATTATGTGCTCAACAACAATCCTCATCAGTTCATTAAACAAGGTCCTGCAAAAGACAATTGTTTTCTTTCAGGAACATCAGGGAAAAAGCAACATATAACAGTAGGAAAAGCTAATGAAGAAATGTTCCACAGCCATTAAAGAATGTAAAGACATTAAAATCATCAACATTGTAGAGAATAAACATCCAATAAAGTCCTTATAACCAACACTTATCTTTTTCTTTTAGTGGAAAGGTTATTTAACAAAAGCATTTCATAAATGACTATTTCTGAGAATTCAGGCTATGAATTTATATTTTTTTAAATAGATTTTTTTTTCACACTTAGCAAACAAAACAAGCAAGGGGAAATTACAGACATATGGGTAAATCTCACTTGTTTCCTTAAAATAATATGCTTTTCAGAGCTTTCCTCACTTCCCAAATAGGAACACTGCTCTGGTATGATGGTAAAGCTTAATGAGACAATACAGTAAATGTTCAACAGGAGATACTATTGCCTTCAGCTCAAAGCCCAATTTCTTAGAGTAGCATTCTTGGAAGTGTTGGCTGGTTGGTTAGTATGTACTGTTGAGCTGGAACTGACTCTGAACTGACCCTCCAGTGAGTTTTCAGAGGCAGTACACAGCACAGGAAGAGGCTGCTCATCTTTCTCCACTGGAACGGGTGACAGATTAGAACCGTGTGCTTTTGGGATGGCAGTCTAACTCCTTATCACTAAGCCTCCAAAGCTCTCTTTCACAGAAACGATTCTTCAGAATTTGGTATCAATTTAATTTATTGCTTCCTCTAAGCCACCATATAGACTGGTATATACCAAGTCTCATGAGTTGTTATTATGTGTCATAGTGTCACCCATGACTCATAACCACCCTGTGCACAATAGCTCTGAATCTTGCCCTATCCTGAGCCAGTCTCACTGACTTCAACAAACCTAATCCCACTTTCCCAGTTACTGTATCAATCCTTCTCATCCAGGGTCATATTCTCCTGTGCTGTCCCTCTATCTTTCCAAGCATGATGTCCTTCTCCAAGAACTGGTCCCTCCGGGCCACATACATGTGCGAAGTATGTGAGATGGAGCTTCAAAGTCCTAGCCTCCAAGAAGGAACTTGATTTCACCCTCTCTAAGACAGACCTTTTTGTCCTCTTGGCAGTCCATGGTATGTTTGATACTCTTCTCCAGCACCAGGTATCAATTCTTCTTCTGTCATCCTTAGTCACTGTCCAGCTCTCGTATGCATAGTAATTGTGAAGACCATGGTCTGAATCAGATGCATCTCAGTCTCTAGACTGATATCAGTGTCATACTTCATTTATAAGTTATTTAAAGTATTATCAAGGGCAGTTTTGACTACTAACAATTTTCAGTTCATATGATGAGTTCTGGTGGCTTTGTGGTAAGGAGTTGTGCTGCCAATCCAAAGTCATGAGATTTGAATACACCAGCTGCCCCACAGGAGAAAAGGAAAAAATCTCCTTCCATGAAATTTACTGCCTCTGAAAACCTACTGGAGGGTCAGCTGTGTGACAAGTTCCAACTTGACAGTACTCAACAGCAATAACACATTGTCTTAAGAACCTAATCAGTCCCTGTAAGAAGATAGAACTCTTGCCTTATTCTTTAATCTGTGTTAGTTTTATGCTTAGGAAAAAACCCCACCTAGTTAAAAAAAAAACACTCTTTTACACACACATACACACACACACACACACACACCCTCCTCAAGAAGAAAATTGGGAAAGATGCTCATTTATCAAAAAATCTGCTCTTAGAGATGACATCATTACTCACAATTCTTGCTTCCAGGACAGGAATCCAGCAGTTTTCATCTTATTTTGCCAAGCCCTAAGATTCTACCTCCAAATATTTTTCAAATTTATTCTTTCTTTCTTTTATTAGTTCAGCTTCTCATTATTTTGCCCAGTCTACTCTGGCACTCTTGCAACGGTTTTATCTTTTCTTTCTCTTGCTAAGTCAACACTTCATCTTCTGGAATACATGTGTAGACCAGATCTTATCATTCCCAACACTTCCCCAATTCCCATGTTATAAAACATCAAAGCCCTTCCCTGCCACAAAAGAAAAGTCAAAAAACCAAGCCCTACCACCCCAAAACTTTCTCACATATTTTGGGCATGTTGCTAGGAGAGGTTATTCCTTGAAGAGACGTCCTACTTGGGAGGGTAGAGGGATGGTGAAGAAGAGGAAGACCCTCAACCAGGTGGGTTGACACAGTGACTGCAGCAATGGGATTGAGTGTATCAGAGATTGTGAGGATGGCACAGGATAGAGCAGGGTTTAGGGCTGTTGTGCATAGGGTCGCTAGGAGTCGGAAACGACTCGACGGCACATAACAACAACAACATAAATTATCACTAAAAAGCCCAGCCTCTTGTTATCAAGTCAATTCCAATTCTCATGGCAAACTTATATATAACAAGGTAGAAGTACTTCAAAGGATTTTCCTGCTTATCTTTAGAAATTCCTAAGTGGTACAAGTGGTTTGCACTGGACTGCTAACATAAAGACTAAAAGTTTAAACCAGTCCAAGCCCACTCAGAAGTACTGTACTGTGGCAAAAAAAGGTCCAATGATGTGCTTCTGCTAAGATTAGAGCTAATGTATGTGGATGATTCTATAAAACACAATATACATAAACAAAGCACAATGTCCATGAATGATAGCATAAAATACAATGAATATGAAAGAGATACAACATTTATAAGTGATTGCATGCAAATCAGTAAAAAAAAAAAGCTAAGAAAATTTTATTGACCTGAAAATAAACTTCATCAAAAAGGGTATTCAAGTGGCAAAAATATACATGAAAAGAGGGTTATAATTATTTTAAGTATCAAAGATGCTAATTAAAGCTATATGAAGTATCATCTTACCCCTGCAAAAATAGCCAAGACAAACAAAAGAAAATATGGAGAAGACTGGAAATTTTATACATTGCTAGAGTGACTTTAATGTGATACAACCACTATGGAACACAGTATGGCACGTCCTCAAAAAGTTAAAATATCTTATGATCCAGCAAACCTGCTCACATCTTAAAATTTTATAAGAGGCCATCTAAGGTAAACTATAGGTCTCTAATCATAAAGCATAAAAGAGAATGAAAGAAATCAAAGAAGAAACTAGTCCAGGGGACCATAAGCTCACATAAAGCACAATCTCTTTTAATCTGAGACCATAAGAACTAGAGGAATGGTTGCGGGGCTGCCACTGACAGTTTTGACAAGGGACACAATAGAACAAGTTACCAGATAAAGCAGGAGAAAAAATGAAGAACAAAATTCAAACTGCTAAAAAAGGCCAGATCTACCTGACAGAGAAACTCTTAGAACTTAGAATGGAAGCTATTTCTGGAGGTCACCTTTCAGCTGTATCATTGACTGGTTTAGAAAATAAACAATATTACCTGTGAAGAATGTATTCCCTTCAACAATCAACTGGATGAAAGCAAAGAGTAACATTTACCCAAAAGCAAAGATGAGAAGGCAAGGAGGGGAATGAAAGCTACACCACGGAAACAGAACAATATATAAACAGTAAGAATGCTGAAACATGAAAATTGTAATCAATGTCACAGAACAGTCAGTGTAAGAATTAGTAAGTAGGAGCCTAATCTGCTATGTAAACTCATCTAAAATTATAAAATACCATTTTACACAAAGAAAATCCTAGCAATTTTAATCAACAACAATCTTTACAGAAGGAAGCCCCTCGGCCTTTGCTGTTGGGTGGGTTCAAACTACCAACCTTAGTCAAGCAGTCTCAATCACTCGCACGACCTAGGGACCTTAAGTTACTACTGCATTAGTGAATTTTCATCTCTCTCTGTTGTCTGTGTTTCACAGTACCTTGATCATTACATTGTATTCCACTGCTTTAAGGACCTTGAAAGATATTTTGAACTCTGAAGATTTGATATTATCAACACATCCTGTTTTATGAAGGATTCACGTAGATAAAGCAAAGAAGGCTGTCCTGAGGGGGCCTGTATAACAGAGATCACTTGCTTTCACAGGCAAGAAAAGCTGAGAGAACTGTTAGCAGTGAAAGGAAACTTAGCCTGCATGCTTCCTGATCCCAAGTAGCCTACCCAATGTAGTTTTCCTGAGGTATACTGTCACCTCCTTAATAAACCGTTCACTGTAGTCTATGAGTTCCACATGGCCACTAAAACAGACTGTCAAGCCCAGAAAAGAACTGCCACAGGATGAACAGAGACTGTCAGAATTTGTAAATAAAATAAAATTGGGGAGAGGTACATCTGACCTCTACTTTATCAAGTTCAGCTGAGAGCACTTCCTGGTCATTATTCAATTCCGAAGCTACTCCTCCCAAAGGCTTACAAAATAAACGAGATCACCTATGAATAATGCACTCCCCTTAATAATCAACTACGTGAGACTAAGCAAATTTTATCCAAAACCAAAGATAAAAAGGCAAGGAGGGAAATTGGCCTTACATCAATGGAAACAACATCAACACAAAATAAACAGTAAGAATGCTGACATATCTTTATCAAATTAAAAATATTTTGTTGGCTTTAAAGTTAGGTACTGATGCTACTCCTACCATTTTACAATCAATGAGAAACTGGTGTCTGACAATACAAACCTAACAAATGATGATCCAACAACTTAAATTTGTGGAAAAATGGCTTCCTTCTAAATTAAAAACACAATTCATAACAATACTATAAATACTATTACTAATACTCTTAACAAATAATAAAGGATTCAAATTAGTCATTAGCTTACCGGCAGTATGGATTTCTTCGAGAGGAGTATCGAAGAGTAAGAAATCTGTAGTATATAAAAGGCTGAAGCAAACTTCCTTGACCACTGCAATAAATACAAAGTTGATAAGCTATTATGAATGCATATGCATTTCTCAAAATGTCAAAGGCAACTCATATAATGCTAAAAGTTTCTAAGTAAGGACACAGAATACATAAATGATTGGGAACTGATAAAAAGTATGTTACCACATTTTTTAAGTATATGTCCATGTGCACATTTTTAATTTTAGAATTCTAAAGGACTGCTTAAAAATTCAGAAATCACTATATAAATGCTTTTATAATGACCACTAATTAATGATTATCAAATATTAAGTTTATAAAATATTAAAATGAAGATTATTTTCCCATAAACAAAAAACCCCTAGTAATGTTCACTAGTAAATTTAGCCTATACTAGTTATAGTCTGACTAAAAATTGTGACTGCTACTACTGTAAAGACAACAGTACAAGAACTATGTTCTTCTTGTTGTTATGTATTAACAAGCCAGAACCAACTCCAACGGGTCCTCAGAGATAGTATATTGCACAGGACGAAACTGTCCATCTCACGCCCATGGAGCAGCTGGTAGATTTGAACCATATGCTTTTGAACCGGCAGAGAAACTCCTTACCCACTGGGCTACCAGAGCTCTCTAGGAGTTACAGATACATATGCTTAGTTAAGTTCATGGTATATTTTAATACTCTTCTCCAACATCACAGCTCAAAGGCATCAATTCTCCTTCTATCCTCCCTAGTCATTGTGCAGTTCTCTGATGCATAACAAGTGACTGCAAAGCCCATGGCCTGTATCAGGTGCACCTTGGTCTCCAAAGCGACATCACTGCTCTTTACTTTGGAGAGGTCCTAACAGCAGACTTTCTCATCGAAATATGTCTTTTCATTTCTGGCTGCTAGTGCCAAGAGGGTTGACCATGGAGCCAAGCAAACTAAAGCTGTTAACAATCTCAATCTCTTCACCATCTGTCAGATGCTGTCAAATGGCCCAGTGGTGAGAATCTTTGTTTTCTTGATGCTGAGCTTCAATTCATATTGAAGTCTGCAGTCCTTGACCGTCTGCAGCAAGTGCTTCAAGTCCTCCTCAGTTTCTGCAAAAAGGGTTGTGTCATCTGCATAGCAGACTGTTGATGAATCTATGTCCAATCCTAATGCCACATTTCTCCTCATAGAGCCCAGACTCCAAGATAATCTGTTCTGCATATTTAAACATTTCTATTACATTCTGTCCTTCATGATAATTATGAAGGTTAAAAGTTGTCACCTTTGAGGATAAGACATAATTTTGGAATAAAAGTTTCAGAGTTAAATAGCTAATAAATACAGCTGTATAAAAATCCATATTCCACCATTCAATGTTAGAACCAGAAGGATTTTTTAAAAGATTAACCATCTAAAATACTACCAGTTCTTTATGTAAGGAAATAAAGGTTCAGGGGCAAGGTGTTTCAAGTCACTTAGTATTGCAGGTGGCTGACAACCAATAAGAAGTTATTCTATGGTTATCATCCCAGATATGTATATACATTTTCTAATGTGGGAGCCCCAACTCAAATATGTGGTGATGCTGGAGTTCTCAGAGGGAAATATTTAAAAGAATAGAACTGTTAAATATCATTGAGTTGGAACCGACTCATATTTAACACTTCATCGAGTTTCCAGAAGTAGTAAATTGCACAGGAAGAGACTTCTCATCTTTCTAGTGCAGAGAAGTTAGCCATTCTTTTTTTCTCCCTCTTCTTCAAAAGAATAGAAGAGATCCATTTATAAAGAAAAATGACAGATGAGACTGTTAAAGAATGGAATAACTAGGAGGTGCATAAAACATTACTAGTTAATCAGAGCAACACACTAAAAAGAAATGACTTACTACTCAATCAGCAATAAATAAAAGTTCATTACATAGTAACAAGATTATGAAAATTAAACTTACATAGACATTTAAATTTAAATAAGTAAAAATTGAGTCTATAAAATACAAAAACAAGCTAGCATATACTTCGAAAAATCAAGTTTGGTAGCTGCATTAGAAAAAACACTGACATAAATATAAGCAGAGGCAAAAACATGAAATACATTTATTTAGAAAAGTAAAAATCTTAAAACAACTGAAATGTTCAATAGGTGAATGAGTAATAAAATACAACACAGTACTTTGATAGAGAGGAGCACTGGTGGCATAGTCTTTAGGGAGTTGTTCTGTCAACTCAAGTTGGCTCTTTGGCAGTTTGAATCCACCAGCAGCAGCCTCAAGGGAGAAAGATAAGCCATCTCCTCCCGTCAGATTTACGGCCTCCAGAGAGCCAGCTATGGGCTGGTACTGACTCACAGTTGGGGTTAGCTAACTAAGTAAGTGAGTTGGGAAATTGAGGGAACACTACTATTATCAGGTGACAATGAGTACATCTGACTTAAAGCAGCCTCATGGGACATAAATGAACTGCCTTGTTGGCTATACTCTCAAGTGTTGCTCTGTGCGTAGTCTATGGACGTAGAGCTCTAAGGATTCCTCCCACGGAGTTACTACGTAGGTTCAAACCACCAATCTTTTGGTTAGCAGCCAAGTGCTTAACTGTACCACAATGACTCTTTTACTGGCTCATGAGTGCAATAGCAAGGAAGTAGGACTGTATGTTTCAACATTAAGAGGTCACAAATGCATGCTGTAAGTGAAAAAAGCAAGATGCAGACTGGCTCATTATAATAACTATGATATAAAATAAAAATCAAATAAACCTCTAACACAACGATGCTATGTTTTCTATGGATCTATATAACTACTTTAAGAGAAATACATGCATTCTTATCACACACAAGTTATCTTTGGGAAGGAAAGTACGGAGCTGCAATGAGGATTCACAGTCAAGAACAATTTTGGCTTTTATCTGCTCGTCTATTACTTGTGAAGTAAAAATTGAAAAAAAATCACTGGTGTATAAATATAAATACAGAATTTAAAACTCAAAATTCAATCATATCAATTGAGAGGCCTGTGCTCTTATTTTAAAATTCAGGTTTTGTAAAGGCTTTCGTTAATCGTACATTATTTCTATAATCAAAGTATAAACAAAAGAAGTCACTTCCGTACAACTATTATGACATCAATGGAAGAGTAGCTCAGAGGTGAAACTTCAAATTACAACTATTTCATAGCTTAAAACTAGATTGTGCTATTTTTTCCCCCTAAGACACCAGGTGTGTAATGTGTAGGGTTGCTAACAGAAAGGTTGCTAGTTCAGATATTGCCAGGCAATCCTGGCAAAAAGGTTGGAAATCTCCTCACTAAGATCAACAGCCTCGGAAACCCAGAGAAGGGTCATCATGAATTGGACTCAACTTGACAGTAGTGGGTTTGTAATCTGTTTCATATAAGAAAATGATCTCCATAATGGCAGAACAGATAGACTTTCAGAGTCTTTTAAAGAATTTTGAAAATTAATTTTCAAAATACTAAACAACAAATCACAAGCAATGATAAGAGAAAAAAGTGCTCATTTCTCTGCTATAAAGTGAAAGGTGTCAGATTAGGTGTTGCTAGGATTCACTGGCTTTACATGTCAATGAGTTTTTTTCATTAGTCTCTCCACTTAAGATATCAACCTTGCAAAACAAATGTATTTAAATTCTTACCTAAAAAGCATAAAAACTGTAGCCGGCATCAAGAAAATTTCATTACAAGCAATAAATTTCAGAATATTCTGCTGATTAGCACTTAGTCTATCCAAGACAGATCTCAGGAGAGGTAAACTATTTGAACCTTTTGCCTGGAACAACAAAAATTAAATAAACATTAAAACAATGAAGTATTTTCATGACTCAACATTTCCTCAGATAATGATGGTCTAAAAGTTTACAAACTAATAAGGCAAAAAATACACTTTCTTACTGTTTTATGTATCTGAAGAGTTAACAGCAAAAACAACTTTTTAGAAGAGATCCTAGATTTCTTTTTAATAGATTACCCAAAAAATGGTGGTTATGTCCTTCTAACCACAACAAACTGTTAGCCTTAACTTATAGCTAAGAATGGACATTTTAGAGTCCAAATATTACTGTGGGAAAAAAAACAAACAAACCCAAACATAGTAAGAGTATTCAAAAAGGTCTATTTACAAGGCCCATTTTATAGTTAAGTTTTCAGTGCTCAGCTGAAAATCTACCTGACACCCTCCAGTTCAGCTTTTGATGCTGTGGATTCAGTTCTGATTCCTCTCAATCCTGTACAACTAAACAAAATACTGTTGAGTCCTTCATCACCACCAACACCAGTGCTGTGGTGCACCAGAGCTCACTGCTGCAGCTATTCTGCGAATCCATCTCTTTTCTGAGAACCCTTCCCTTAACCTAGCACAGTGTTCTTGTCCAGTTACTGGTCCCTCTGGGTCAACATGTCCCAAGTCTATGAGATCAAGTTTTGTCATCCTCCCCTCTAAGGATTATTCTAGAGGCACTTCTTCCACCTTAGAGCTCTTTACTCTTCAGCAGCCCCTGTTATTTCCAGTATTTTTCACCATTACTGCAATGCATCAATCCTGCTTCAGGTTTTCTTCACTGTCCACAGCTCTCTGCATTCATGAGGTGATAGAAAATACCATGGCTAGCTCAGGCACAACTTAGTCCTCAAAGATGGTTGTTGTTTTGTTTTTTGTTCTTTTTTTTGTTAAAAAAATCCTTTAAAGAGTTCTTTTGCAGATTTGCCCAATGTAATACTTTATTTCCGCATTACTTCTTCCTGGGACGGATTGTGGACTTAAGTAAAACCACATCCTTGACAATGCCAATCTTTTTTCCCATTTATCATGAGTTTAGTGGCCCAGCTTGTGTTTTCTTTACACTAAAGTGAAATCTATACCAAAGACTATATATATAGAGAGTATACATATATATATAGTATATAGAGTATACTCTCTCTCTCTCTCTATATATATATATATACACACACACACATATAAAAAATCTCCTTATAGGCTGTTGAGTTTTCTTCTAGTTTTGATGCTGCAATATCTTCATATAGTCCAGCTTCTTGATCATTTGCTTAGCATGTTGTTATGTGCCGTCGAGTCGCTTGCGACTCATAGCGACCCTATGTACAACAGCCCTAAACTCTGCTCTGTCCTGTGCCAATCGCACTGTCTCTGACACTCCCATCCCAATTATCCCAGTCACTGAATCAATCCACCTCATAGAGGGCCTTCCCCTCCTGCGCTGTCCCTCCACCCTCCCAAGCATGATGTCCTTCTCCAAGGACCGGTCTCTCCTCACAACATGTCCAAAGTATGTTAGACAAAGCCTCAGAATCCTTGCCTCCAAGGAGCCACCCAGTTTAACCCTTTCCAGGATGAATCTGTTTGTTTTCCTAGCAGTCCATGGTATTCAATACTCTTCTCCAGCACCACAGCTCAAAGGCATCAATTCTCCTTCTATCCTCCTTGGTCACTGTCCAACTCTCTGATGTATAACAAGTGATTGCGAAGACCATGGCCTGTATCAAACGCACCTTAGTCTCCAGAGAGACAATGTAATTGTTTAGCATAGAAAAATTAATAAATACGGTAAAAAGATATAACCCTGATACGCTTCTCTTGATTGTACAGCAGACACTATCCCCCAGTTCTGTTTAAACAACTGCCTCTTGTTTTATGTAGGTTCTGCATAAGAACAATTGAGTGTTCTGGGATTCTCAATGTTGATAATCTGTTATGATCTACAGAGTCAAATATATTTGCATAGTTAATAAAGTACAGGTAAGCCTTTTCCTGGTATCTGCTCTCAGTCAGTAATATTCCCCATTCTACACTCTTCTGAATCTAGCTTGAATTTCTATGTACAGGTAGTGCTGCAATTATTTTGTCAATATAATCTTCAAGGTCTGATTTTTCAGTCTCCATTTGAGAAATGTTGAGTGGGTTTTTCTCTTTTGGTTGTCTAATTCCAGGTTTTTGTCCATTTTGTTACAATGTTGTTTTGTTATCTTGCCCAGATAATGTAGTCCATAGAGTTGTACTTCTAACCCAAAGGTGGTGTTGGGTTAGTGTCTTTGGTGGTTCAAATCTGCGAACAGCTTTGAGAGAGAAAGACAGGCAATATCCTCTCCTGTGATTTATAGCCTCAGAAAAGTCACTGGAAAGTCAGCTACGAGTTAGTTCTCCAACTCAATGGCAATGAGTTTGTAATGAGTTATCTTCTTGAGTCATCCTTTGAAGTGTTCTATTTTTTCAAATTCACAAGTTGCTCCAAAGGACAAAGATGAACACTTCCCTTTTGTTATAGTTTGCAGAATTGAGAGGTTAGTAACACTGGCCTAAAGCCACAAGGCTCAAGGCTGAGGTGTCTGCAAGGATATTTCCAAAGCTGTCCTGACTGAGTGATTATGTTCTACTACTAACCTGACTTACAGTCTTTGCCCTCTTTAATAAGGTTCTGTGTGGTCCGTGAGCTATCACACTGGATTCTGGATCTGTAAAGCAGCAAGACTGGTGTTGGAATGAGTAAAAAGGTGTGCGGGAGCCTGGTGGAACATATCTGTCTCCATGGGAATTGGTTTTGTGCTACTGGTCTTGCTGACAGGAACAGTACCCCTCTGTGAAGTTGGTAAAGGTCAGATATGGCTATCGCCTGGCAGGCCCCTTCAGATCAACATGTCCTAAGAACATGAGACAAAGTTTCGTCACCCTCCCCTCTGAGTATTATTGTGGCTGGACTTCTCCCAAGTCAGAGTTGTTTGTTCTTTGAGCAGCCCATGACATATCCACTACTTTTCACCTTAATTCAAAAGCATCAATTCTTCAGTTTTTCTAATTCATTGTCCAGTTTTCTGCACACATGCTTTTGTCATTGTTGTGTACTGCTGAATCAAAACTGACCCACAGCTTATGCTCCAGCAAGTTTTCAGAGGCAATAAACTGCACAGGAGGAAGCTGTCCATCTATTTCCCACTGAGTGGATTCGAATCATGCACCCTTGCATTGGCAGGCAATTCCTTACCATTATCAGTTATTCCAGGTGCAGTCTGGCCCTCAAATTTGAGAACATCTCCCATTTTCTTTAGCTATCCTACGTTCAAGAGCTGAACTGCCGCAGTGACTGTAGAAATGGGCTAGAGCACGCTAGCAAGCAGAACAGGACAAGGTTCCGTATTGCTCATAGTATCACTCAGTCATAGTCAATCTGATGGCACCTACACCACGTTCAAGAGAACGCTTCAGTCTCTGCTCGCATTCATTTTGGCCTTTTCCTTCTTTCCTGTCTTTTTAATGACTTTAACACTTTCTTCTTATAGTAAGTTCTAGTCTCTGATGTCATTCCACAACTGGCAGATATCTGGTCATTAGTCTTTAGTGCTTAAAGAATGACATCTATGCTTGAGGTACTAACTTCAGGTGCAATATACTTAAGATTATATTTTGGCTCTCATGAATTTGTATTCATTTTCTTTAGTTTCATTTTGAACTTGTCTACAAATTGATGTTCCATTCTACAGTTAGCCCTGGCCCACTTCTGACTTGTGGGATGGAGTTTTTCCATAGTCTCTTTCCACAAATGCAGTCAATTTTCTGCCTGCATATTCTTTCTAGTAAGGTGTACTTGTATAGCTGCCATTTATGCTCTGAAAAGAAGTATTTTCAATGCATAAATTTTATCATACAATCTTCAGGCTGCTTCTATCACCAAGTCTGTATTTTCTTTTTTATTAATTTCAATGAACATTTACAGAGATTTCGGATTTCTATTCATTCATTGTTGCACTTTTCTCCCCGCCCACCCCACCCCCACCCGAGTTCGCTCTTCTCTTTGGAAAGAAAAATTCCTTCACTGGTACACAATCCCCCCACACCCCCTCACTCTCACCCCCACCCCCGAGTATACTCCACTCTGCAACCTTCATTCTGGACTCTTATGATAATCATAATGCCCTAAAATATATTGCTTTTAAACTGTTCTCTCCCTCATCTGTTTCAATGCAGTATACATCATTTATCCCGTTTTTCTCATTTTAACCCTAACCCTGATGTCAGTCCCATTCTACAGTAGTGGCACTATGCAGTGTTTGTCCTTTGTGACTGAGATATTTCACTTAGCATAATGTCCTCCAGTCACCCATTTTGAATAATATTGCATGAATTCCTTGTTTTTCAATGCAGCAGAGTATTCCATTGTGTGAATATACCACAGCTTCTCTATCCATTCATTTGTTGATGGGCACTTAGGTTGTTTCCAACTCCTTGCTATTCTGAACAAAGCAGCGATAAACATGGGTATGCATGTATCTGCTTGGATGTCGGTTATGGTCTCTTTAGGGTGTATTTCCAGTAGTGGAATTGCTGGGTCAAATGGTATCTCTATTTGCAACTTTTTGAGAAAGCATCACACCGCTTTCCACAGTGGTTGCATCATTTTATACTTCCACCAGTGAATAAGGGTTCCAGTCTCTCCACAACCTCGCCAGCATTTGTTGCTTGCTGTTCTGTTAAATTTTGCTAGTCTTACTGGGGTGAGATGGTATCTCATAGTTGTCTTGATTATTGGATTATTTACCTTTATCTTGTTGTGGTGCTCAAGTGTTTTATAAATTCTAGATATAAGTCAAGCCTGTATTTTCTAAGCACTAGCCCTTCTTTGTTTCTGATCTTGCATTCCAATCACCAGTAATTATCAATACATCTAGATCACATGTTTGATCAACTTTAGGCTCAAGAAGTTGATACAAATCTTTCATTACTTCATCTTTAGAATTAGTGGCTGGTGCAATGTTTAAAGAGCAGTCTTCAACATGTTTTAATGATATAACCCAGTAAATAGAAAAAAAAAGAAATTTAAAAGTAGCAGTTTTATGTTAACAGAAAAGAGATAGTGAACTTTACTAGTAGATGAGAATTTAAAATAAACAGAACAATATACCATTTTAAATTACTACAAGCTTGAAAAATGTTTTCTGGGGACTGAGAAATTATTCTTAATACAATCCTTTAACTGTAAAACATACTCTCATACACCTCAATAGTAACAAAATTCAAACTTAACACTTTCCAAATCACTAAATAATTTAAATAAATAAATCTTAAGTGACAAAATGTCTTAGAACTCTCAAAGTTGTCAAGTACCAATCAGTATTGGTACAAGTGTAAAAATAAAAAACAACCCCCCAAAAGATCTAATACAGTTTACTTACATCGAGAACCTTTTTAGTGTATGTGGCAGCATGGAGCAAAGAGAACAATAAGACTGGGAAAATACTCACTGAAAAAAGCAATTAAGGAAAACTCTAAAATAACAAGTGTGCTACAAGACCGACTATACATCACATACCAATACATAGATCTAAAACATTTGCTAACATAGTTGAATAATTTTATATTTTTTAACATAATTTATAGCCAAATAATTTGTTAACTATTAAAAACTTAAAATTTATAAGTAAACCATTTAATTTTTCTAAAGTCCTCCTAAGTTTCAAAAATAAAATAGTAAATGAAAAAACTTTTCTCATTCATTTCTATTGGTTAATAAAAATACTCAATATAAAATCTAGGCAGCAGTATATACAAATTTAAAAAAAATTATGTTCTAAGTGCCATTTACATTATATTCTGTTCATGTACACTGTGGGTTCCTCCCCTTCAATCATCTTATTAATAACTTCCTTCATGAAAGCATGTACACCAGTTACTTTATGCCTCATGCTCTAAATATCCCCCGAGGTAAAATTTTTAATCTCAAAATGCCCATCCAAGCCATTCTAACACAGAAATGGTGTTTTCAGCACTCTCAATCACTAATGAGAATAAGATATAGCAAGTGGTTTCTAATTTTCCCTCTATAAAAGAATTTTCTTTATTATTTCTCTTCTATAAATGTCCAATGATGTAGTAGTCAAGGCATTCCATTCAGATTAGCTGGGAAGCACCAGTCACTCTGTGCAAGATGAGGCAGGCTACTTCTATGAATACTTACAGTCCAAGTTCTACTCTGTCTGACAGAGTTGATGAGTCAGAACCAGATTCAGTGGCAACTGATTCAGTAGTTTTTAGTTTGGTTGTTACAATTAATATCTTCGTAACTTGTAAAAATAAAATACAATTGTATATGTGTTAATATTTTGGAAACAGGAGTGGCATTCCCTTCCTAAACAATATGCCTCCTGAAACTCTACGAACTTTGATTTGATAAATGTCGGTAGTTATAGAAAGGCTTCAGGTCTTTTGTACATAGGGTTGCTATGAATCTTTCTCAACTCAAAGGTAATCAACAACCACAACCACAACGTGTTACTACAGCACCTATTGAGTTGTGGTGCACTGGGGGAAAGCTGCTGTCAAGGACTTCTTTTAAGTGCTAGTGACCAATGATATCACTTTAAAGACTAAGGTACAACAGATGGGAGTCATAGTCTTTCCAATTGCTTCCCGTAAGTCTGAAAGCTAGAAAGTTAATAAGGATGACAAATTGAAGACTTTGAATTGCAGTGTTAGAGAAGAGTTAGGAATAGCCCATGGACTGCCAAAAGAACAAGAAAATCTGTCTTGGAGGAACTGCAACAAGGTTGCTCTAGAGGCAAGGATGGTGAAACTTCTGACATACTTTGAGCATGCAATCAGGAAGGGCCAGTCCTTGGAAAAGGACATCGTGCTGGGGAGGGTGGAGGACCACCAAAAGAGGAAGACACTTGGTAAGATGGACTGACACAATGCCTGCACCAATGGTTTTGAGCCTATCAGATCATGGTGATGGTGATGGTGGGCAAGGCTCAGATCTGTTGTTCCAGGGTCTCTGTGAGTTGTAGCTGACTTACTAGCAATTAGTAACAGTAACAACTTGTGTATATAAGATGCCACTACAGATGTGTTAACTGAGTATTCTCATTAGCTTATTCAACATAAGCAAAGAATTCTTATATTTGAGTCAACTGACTCAACTTTATGTCAGCTTTAGGAAACAAATAAAAACAATCTTCAGAACAATGAAAATCATTCCAAGTACATCACTTTTCACCTCAATTTATGCCAGACTAATAGAAACAAAAATTATTCATCAGTTATTCTCACAAAATGATGTAAACATTGTTGTTTTGTGCCATCAAGGTTAACTGTAAATGGTAAAAATGCTTGTCCTATTATAGCAAGGGTTTCTAAAAAACAAACTCTTGGTTTCTCCCAAAATTGTTCTATATTAACTAAAGGCTTGATGTGATCAGAGATACAATTTGAGTATTTATTTAGTTTATTATAACCACAGCTCATTTAGGATGCAAAGTTCCCTAATTTCCAAATGGCAAATAATGACCTGCACCTACGTATTAGAATACTTTCTAATACAATTCTATGAAATACCCTAATTTCCCCCTGATATGCACAAACATTAAGTATATATTAAGTATATTCCGAGTTGTGGTGTGGTTAGCCGTCATCAAATCAGTTCTAAGTCATGGCAATTCCAGAGATCATATATAAAAATAGTACTGAATTTTCTAATGAGCCTAGATCCCTTAAAACAATAAAATTTACAACTCCCTCCTTAGGGGGGAAATTACACACACGCACACACACACACACAGACACTAGGGGGGGAAATTACACACACACGAAAAAATTACACACACACACACACACACACACACACACACACGTACGTATGTACCGGAACATTTACATTCTAGGTGTTCAACCGAAATCCTCTGTAAAGTCCATTCATGGACTGGGAGCTCAGAAGTTATTTAAAGACAGTAATTAGTTCCCAGGTGTTTCTAAGGGTAGTGTAAAGCTTGGTTACTTCTAAAACAGGATTTAAACTTTGACATATATATAAATTTGAAGACTAACAGAGTAAGAGGTATTTTGGGCTAATCAATCTTAGGTTCTAGTTCTGATTCCACTTCCTTGTTGTTGTTTGTCAGCTGACACACCAGTGGGATTTCAGAGGCAGTAAGTACATCAAGAGAAGATGGGCCCATCCTTCTCCCTCAAAGCAACTGGGAGTCAGATAGTAGCATGACTTGTCACCAGACCACCAGGAGTCCCTGACTCTACTTCTTGTGTGTACCGACTCATGGACAACCCTCCAGTGATTTTTCAGAGGCAGTTTAATCAGATGTGAGGAGACTGCTCACCTTTATCCCGCAGAACAGCCGCTGGATCTGAACTGCATGCCTTCAGGTTGGCAGTACAGCTCCTTACCACCAGGCCACCAGACCTGTGCTAGCTGACCTCATTTCTCTGAGGCCAAATTTCATCCTATCTCAGATAAATGTCAAGGATGGAGACTTTCCCCCTATATTATCAAATAGTTCTCAAGTCCTTGATAAGACTCAAAAATCTTAGTGGTCAATATAACTGTTAAATTCCTTTAATAAGATAAGGAATTAAAAGCCTACAATTTAAACCACTGAGTACCTGTCAGTGTTAGAGCAAGGACAGCATTAACACCTTTGTTAAGAGCAAAGACCAAAACACCATTTAGTAATATTACTTTGGGCTCACCTTTATTCACCCAATAGTTAGGAATTTGACTAGTGTTTCTGCCAACTAGCTTATGTTATTTTCACTGCTCACAATTTTATTTCTGGAAGAATTTATAAAACATGTAATTGAACATGCCCATGAGAGAGGGGTTAGCAAATAAACAACTGCATAAAAAAGGCAGAAAGGCTGCCTTCATAAGTCACACTTTTCACTAAGTACCATCTCAGGATTTACTCAACAAAACTTACAGAGCACCTGCTCTGTGAAAGGCACTGTTCCAACACTGCCAGTGAAGTATCGGCGCTGGGCTACAACAATCGCCTAAAATACATTATATGAAATTTCTCCTCTTCTTACCAAAGAAACGAAATCATGAAAACGCAGTACTTCCTAGAGCAGTTATGCTCTCCAACAGTTTGAGCCACTGAACACTGATACTATTAAACCTCACTATGTACATTAGCAAATTAAAGGTCATAGAGTAAAAGACATAACCTACGTTTAACTACAAAAGCTTCACCTCTTTTTTTTTAAAAAGAAAACTCATTCTCCAAGAACACACTTCTGAAATGTTTACATCTACAAATTCCAATTCGTACAAATTCGCACTAACTCCAACAGTTTCATTATCTTCACTGAGTATTAATTTACCCTATTTTCTACCTACCCAGAGCAAATCCCAACTGCTTTTTGTTTACTGATTATCCCATTCTCTGCTTAAATAAGTTACTTCTTGACACATTTATCCCTCAGTTAATGGAAAGACAGATTTTGCTTTAAAGCAGGGCTTTCAACTAGTTTCAAACCAATTCAGTCATGGTCAGAGATGCAAAATTGGTACAGATGAGAATTTTTAAAATGTGGGTGAATCCAGGACGATAAACAGACTGGGAAATTACAGATGAAAGCCCTGAAATGGGAGGCTTGGGAGAGGTATAGTTAGTGCTTTTGAGAGCCTGTGTGAGACTGGACTGTTTCAGGAACCTTATTACTTGGCAAAAAGCCAGGACTGTGAAGAGCAACACAAGTTCCAAGTAGCAAGGTCTGCAGTCCTATTTGAGCTGGTTGGCTGCAGCAGGTAAGAGATTTAGTTGCTATGCAACTCTTAATCTGCCTTGCCTTCTACAGAGATTAATTTTCTAGTAGGACTTGGAATTTTCTCATTCTAGTTATGGTTCCCATTTTGCTTTCTCCCCATGACTGAACTAGGACGCAGTAGTTCAAAGCAAGCCCTGGTTTAAAGCAAGACATTAGAATATTTCCCCAAAGATGCAAATAAAAGGAAAATTTAAATATTTAAGTATTAAGTCCTTGTGCTCGGAATCTGATACTTTAAATTATCTGTTGCTAGTATAGAAGTATTAAAAGGAAAACACACTAGCTTTAAAATTCACAATCCGTTCTTCAATGTTCAGATGTCACATTTTTAAGTAAGAAGGAGCAATGATGTCCGTCTAGAGACTAAGGTGCATCTGATCCAGGTTATGGTCTTCCCAATTATTTGTTATGTGTCAGAAAGCTGGACAATAACTAGGGATGATAGAAAGAAAAGTGATGCCTTTGAGCCGTGGTGCTGGAGAAGAGTATTGAATATACCATGGACTGCCAGAAGAACAAACATGTTTGTCCTGGAGAGGCTGAATCCAGGCTGTTTCTTGGAAGCAATGACTTTGAAGCTATTCTGAAGCTCCATCTGACATACTCTGGGTATGTTGCAAGGAGGGACCAGTCCTTGGAGGGCGACGATATGCTTGGAATGGTGTAGAGACAATGCAAGAGAGGAAGACCCTCTATGACGTGGATTGATTCAGTGACTGGGGTAATGAGGGTAGGTGTGTCAGAGCCAAAAGACTGGCACAGGATAGAGCAGGTTTCAGGGCTATTGTACATAGGGTTGTTATGAGTCACAGGTGACTTGATGGCACATAACAACAACAACATACTAAATATAACTTCATTCAAATGAATACAAACAAATGAACAAACCTGGTCCGCACAGAGGCCCTCACTGCAGAAATTTCCCTACAGCAAGAAAAAAATCAGAAGGCATTTTCAAAATGCTTAGTAAGTAACTGTTAGAAACATGTTAAAGGATACTTGTAACCGGGTAGGAGTTGACAAAGATGAGAGAATACAGCAGGTAGTGGCAGCTGTCCTCTAACAAAGCCTGGGCCAGGAATGCTCTGCTTAACTGGAAGTGAGGTAATCTTTGGTGCAGCCTCAGAGCATTTGCCAGCAAAGCACGTTGGTAAAAGCTTGCTGCTTCATGCAACCTGCAAATTACCAGAGAAGTTATCATGAGACATAAACAACTATCATGCCTTTTCCTCCTCTGTGAATTGCATCATAATTGCACAACACTTAAATCTATTATTTAATAGTCAATAGAAAAAAAAATTACTTGAGCCTATTCTACCTTAGGAATATAATGTCGTAAATATACCCAAGCCAGTTTTATAAAGCAGCCAATCTTCATGGCAAATTTAAACACATAAGGTCAAAACTGTTAAAAACAAGAACTTCTATCTCATCCCCACTCATCTATATTCCAAGATTTTTAAAGGGCTATTAATTGTTACAAAGCATAAGATATAATATTATACAAATCCCTAACAGACTATTAATGCCTTAAGGATGGGTCTTGTGTTTCCCCTGTCCTTAAACTCCTTAGTTAATTGGCTAAAAAGAATTCCACAAAAAGGAACTGCATAACTGAATATCCGAGGCAGAAGTATGTGTAATACATACCCAAGAAGAGGCAGAACAAACAAAGCGGAGCAATACACGGTGAACAAGCGAGAAAGCCACATTGCTGTGTCCAGTTTATTGGCCATCATATATTGCTAGATGGATAAAGAAAAATACTGCGGTCAATTGGGCTTGTACATTCCATTGTCAAAGAATGAAGATTATGGAGTTTTAGTCCCATTCAAAACACATTTTGATAATGTTACAACCTTTTATTTTTCAGTGAAAACTCTTAAGGCAATTAATATGCTCACAAACAAGACCAAACACCTTATAGTTTTGATGCTGAAGGCACATACCTATTTTCCAGGATTTTCAAAGTGCTATTAATTGTCACAAAGCATAAGATATAATACTATACAAATCCCTAACAAATTATTAATGCCTTAAGGATGGGTCTTGTGCTTCCCCTGTCCTTAAACTCCTTACAGTTAATTGGCTAAAAAGGATTCCATAAAAAGGAACTGAGTAATTGAATTATCAGAGGCAGAAAAATCAGTTGACATTTTAAAATAAGATGAGGGAAAAAAACCTGCACAAAAATTTAACTACAGTTGTAGCTCTTCAACACTTCTAATACTGGCTTCATGTATTTTAAAAGACTATTAAATAAGAACTAATTGCTCTCAAGAGAATTATCTGCCTATTCTTAGAAAAACCTCAAATTCAAATAGGTAGATCTCAGATCTGAGTAAGAAAGCATTACACAAAGCCAGTTTGGAGTAAGTAAACCTTCAGCGTAGAAACAGAAAACCATGGTCATAGTCACTCAGCAATGAACTCATTACCTTTGGATGATTTGGTAGTATAAAAAGGTATGGCATGCTAATGGTGCTTCAGAAATAGCTGCAGATAGTAAAAGGCACCTGCCTCTCTGATTATATGACTCTCTTCCTCCATTCTGGGCTCTCCTCACAGGTTTTATTCTAGTTTTGAGGGTCTTAGAAAAAAATTTGATTTATCATTTTCCTCATTCTGGTTTTTGGAGGTTTTTTGGTCTTTGCTGGTGATATTTTGCAAAGCAATTGTTTGCCACTCAATCAATTAATCACAAATCAGTAAGTCAATCAGTAAATGTCTACTAAACAATAACTTAAATCTGTTATACTCAAATTCCAAAGTGGTTTTTATACTTACTTATGATCTACATAAATAATTAGTTGTACACCAAAACTCAATACAAATATAAACAGGTATGTAAAAGGGAGGGAGCTTGGGTGGCCTAGTGGCAAGGAGTTGTGCAGCCAACCTGCAGGCACATAGTTTGAATCCATCAGCTGCTGAGGAAGAAGTATGGGCAGTCCCCTCCCACGCAATTTATAGCCTCTGAAAACTGGCCAGAGGTATAGCTATGAGTCAGTGCCAACTGTAAATGAACACGTACACAAAGCAAACACGAAAGTATCACAAAAACAACTTATCTTTACTTTTTGTAATTTTTTTTACATTTCCCATTTTACGTAATTTCTGGAAAAAACATAGCTGTAATCTACTAAAGTGATTTCAAAACTAACTAGTGAGTATTAACGTGAAGTCTAAAAACACTACCCTAAGCTGTAACTTATGGTGGCACAGGCCATAGGGAGGTGCACTGCTAACCCTAATCTCTGGCAGTTCAAACCCACCTCTGGCTAGGAGGGGGAAATGGAGGTATTCTCCTCTTGTGTGATTTATAGCCTACAAAAATATACCAGAGTGTCAGCTGTGAGCTGGCTCTGACTACACAGCAATGAGTGTAAACTACAAGCTAAGCTCTTGCTGGTAGGTGCTGCTGAGTGGGCTCCACCACACTCTGCAGAACAAGAGGAAGCACTATCTGCCCAGGTCTGTCCCATCCTCGCAATCACTGCTCTACCTGACCTCAGTGCTGTAGTCGCTGAGTCTCAATCCAGCTCTTTTAGGTCTTTCCATTTACACTAACTCTCTAAGGTGTTCTCCTCCAGGGACGGATCCCTCTTGGTAACATGTCCACAGTACATGAGAAGTAGTCTTGCCACCACACTATCTAACGGAATAAAAATACACAAAATTTTTCAAAGACAAAATTCAAGTACACTTTAAAGTTCAACAAAAGTTGTATTAGATGCCTTTTTTAATGATAAAGGTAATTTCATAAATATAAAATATGCTTCTTGTTTATTCCACTCAAGAGTCTACCAAAGTTCTCTAGTTAAGTAGCTGTTATCAGTCAAAGGATGGAAGAATCTCACTTATTGTGTCCATTACAATAGAGTTCTTTTTTTCTTTCTTTTTACTTGTTGTGTGCCATCGAATCAGACCTGATTGGCACAGAAGGACATTGCCCCCTCTTCTCCAGCAGAACATCTGGTGGATTTGAACCACAGACCTTTGGGATTGCAGTGCAGTTTCTTGAACTAGGCCACCAAAGCTCCCTAAAGATTTCATTTGAGAACATTCTCTTTAAAATCCACTTGTTGAGCTCTGGTGGCCTACTGGCAAGAAGCTGCACTGCAATCCCAGGGGAAAGTTGTTAGAATCCACCAGATGCTCTGCTGGAGAAGGAGGGGCAATCTCCTCCTGTACCATCCAATTTGATGGTGCAAGTGCGCACGCATGCGCGCGCGCGCGCGCGCACACACACACACACACACACACACACACACAAATAACATTATTATTTAAAAAAATTCAATTGTTTGGGATGCTCATTTTATGAGAAAGCATTTCTGTTTGTACACTTTTCTACATGTGTTTTATGTTGCGTACCATAGAGTCGGCACCGACCCAGATCTGACCCTCTGGTGGGTTTCTGGACATAACTGCACAGGAGACTGCCCATTCTCCTGCAGAGCAGCTGGTGTCCTTGAACCCTCTGCCTTCAGGAGTGCAGCACAGCTTCTTGCCACTAGGCCACCAGAGCTCCCTGTGTTTTATGTTATAAAAGTTTGTTACATTTCAATAGTGAACTGACAAGTTATTTACAGTAATGACTAGTAATAATAGAAAATATTAAGAAATAACTTGTAGATTGACATAATACATGGGGCAATGGGGGATATGTGAGTCAGGAGTCAGTGAAACTGGCTTAAGATAGGGCAGACACATAACAACAACAACAATATATAGTTCAGAAAACTCTAGCTTAGTAGCAGGAAGGTGAGCTGCAATCCCAATGGAATACGGTTAGAATCCACCAGCTGCTCCCTGCTGGAGAAGGATGGGAAATCTCCCACGCGATTAAATGCCTCTGAAAACCCCCTGAGGGGTGGGCTATGGGTCAGTTCCAACTTGACAACAAAACAACAACAACAATAAATAGTTCAGGTGGAAAATATCAATAGGTCTTTGGGGGAAAAGTTGGTGAGTTAAAATACTGTTTCACAGTCTCAAAAGTTTCATTTTCATAGAATCTCTTTTAATTACAAAAAGAAAAAAGCTTGGGTTGTTGTTTTCTGATTATATTCTGCAAAAACAGTCCTACTCTGCAGGAAAAACAAAGGAAAAGAGGCAGGGACACTGTTCCAGATTAAGCGACTACAGCACCATGGACTGTAAAAGGCAATGCATGTTCTGACTGGCTCCTTCTGTAAACTGAGGGATTCAGCTTTACAAGACCACTAAGGAAAATAGAGTATGGAATGCCTACTTCTGAACAGCAAGCGCTGGTAGCCTAGCGGTTGAAAAAAAAAAAAAAAGAAGTTGCACTGAAATCCCACAGTTATGTGGTTCCAACCTACTAGCTGCCAGCTACTTGGTGGGAGAAAATGAGCACTCTCTCATGTTATTAAATGCCTCTGAAAACCCGCTGGAGGGTCAGCGATGGATTAGTTCTGACTCGACTTCACACAACCTCATGAGCAAATAACATTTTTTCAATTTGTTAATTGCCTAACCATCTCATAGAATATGTGAAGCATTTATGGGTTAGGAATCACAATGCATACAACTAACTTTCAAGTGGCTCTGCAAAATTAAACTTGTATATAAAATGCCGTACTTGTTAAAAAAAGTTTTTTAACTAAAAGCCAGGGAGCTCCGATGGCTCCGTAATAAGGAGTCGCGCTGCCAACACAAAGGCATGTGGTTCGAATCCACCAGCTGCTTGGCGGGAGAAAGATAAGTATCTCGGTGCGCATTACTGTATGGACGGTCAGCCCAATTAGCAGACTAACGGACTAAAAAGAACTATAAAGCATCATGCTTTACCAGTATGTTTTAAAAATTGACAAAATAAACTAATTCCTCCTAAAGAATTAGGGACAAAAAGAAGGCAGCCAAGGGGGTCAGAGGGGCAGAATGATCGCACTCCTTCCTTTGCGGTCACGCTGTTCTCGGCCCGCACATGTGCACAGGACGAGAGGCAGTTGTCACCTCACAGCCTCGGGTGGCGAGTTCAACCTTGGAGCATATGACAAGGGACCGAGGGGATGGAGGAAGCCCAGTTTCCCGGCACAGAGGTGAGAAGCACCTACTCCTGGCCAGGCCCTAACTGCTTCGGACATTAACTTGTAGCTCTTTCTGGATCTTCCTCGCAATCACAAAATCGCTCCCCGATCACAAATCCCAGGCCTGAAAGCAGTAAATGTCTAGAGGGCTCAGAGGTTGGCACGCAACATTTCCTTCTTTCCAATCCTTACAAACCAAGCCGGCGGCGCTGCCCACGTACTTACCAATGCGCCAGCCCCTTGGGGGCCGTTCGGGGTCCTGTCTGCCATGGGGAACTCACACTCGTGTCTGGGACGCTGTGATCGCCAAGAGAGAAGAGACAAAGGTCAGCGCCGAGTCCGAGACCCCGCTAACCGGTTTCCCAGCCCCGTGTCTCAGGCCCGCCGCACCCTGCCCCGACCCCGAATCTCCACCGGGGAAGGGTCTCCTGCCGACCTGGTGCAGCTGACTGACCTGAGGACACTCACTGCGGCAGGAACTGCTTCTCCGTCCCGGCCGGGATCAAGAAGTGATTCCAGAAACACAGGAGAAAAGGCGGAGCTTCAGGGCGAAGCTCAACAGGGTCGACCCAACGCAGCAGGTTACAGGCTCCTGCTGACCCCGGAAGTGTTTCACTTCCTCAGTGAAGAAGAGGTGGCAAAGAACCTTAAGCCGGGGGCATGACGGGAATTGTAGTTCTTTCCGCCTTTTTTTTTTTTTGGCTCGGTCTGTCTGGCTTATTGGCTTCTTGAGAATGGCAAAATAGCTTGCCCTTCACCTTTAAGTCCACAGAGCGATCCACTTGCCCACAACTGAAAGGTGAAATGTGTTTCTTGACTAAGCTCTGGTGGCCGAGTGGCAAGAAGCTGAGCTGCAATCCCGAAGCCACGCGGTTCAAGGACCCTAGCTGCTCAGCGGGAAAAATAATGGGTAATTTCCCCGTGAGATTAACTGCCTCTGAAAACTTTCCGGTGGACTCCGACTCCATAGGACACAACAACAGAAAGCTTTTGTTCCCTCCCTGGGTCCAGGGGCTTATTAAGTCACTAGTGTCTACTTTTCAGATTCTTTCAATGTTGTTGCTGTTAGGTGACATCGAGTCGCCTCTGCGACTCGAACACAATAGCTTTGAACCCCGATCCTGAGCCAATCTCACTGTCTCCTACACACCTACTCTACTTACCCCAGTCACTGAGTCAGTCCATCTCATATAGGGTCTTCCTCTCCTGCATTATCCCTCCACCTTTTGAAGCATGATGTCTTCTCCAAAGGGTGGTCCCTCATGGCAACATGCCCAGAGTATGTGAGACAGAGCTTCAATATCCTTGTCTCCAAGGGGCAACTTGGTTTCACCTTTTCTAGGATAGACCTGTTTGTTCTCTCGGCAGTCCATGGCATGATCAATAATCTTCTCTAGCACCACAATTTAAAGGCATCAATTCTTCGTTTGTCATCCTTACTCATTGTCCAGCTCTCTGATACATAGCAAAGACTATATAGTCTATATTGCAAAGACTGTGGTCTATATAAGACACACCTTCATCTCTAGACTGACATTATTGCTCTTTAGTGTTCTGGCGTGGTCCCTGACAGCAAACTTTCCTAATTCAATTCGTCTTTTGATTTCCTGACTGCTGGTGCCAAGAGTGTTGATTGTGGGTTCGAGCAAGTTGAAATTATTAATAATCTCAATATAAGTCCTGTTGCGAAAATAGCCTCATGCTTGGCATGGAAGATGAAAAGAAGGTTATGACTTCAACTGCAAGAGGGGTAGACTAGAAAATGGAAATCACTTCACCAAACAATATTCAACCCTTCGGTTTGTCTGATCCTATCTTAAAGTGACCAACCATCTAAGTTAGAGCAGAATCTCTCCATAGTGTAAAATAAGTGTAGGCAGCATGGACATGGGCATATCTGACCTCTACTGACTTTACAAAGCGGAACTGTCCCCATCAACAACATCCACAGTGCAAAACCAACCCCTATAAGGTCAGAGGTAGGCTCATACAATCTTGCACCTTCTGCTAATTCCAACACTAATCTTACTGCTTGGTTTGGACCATTGCAATGATCACACAGCTCTCACAGAACCATACTCACTGTTTTGGGGTTTATTAGGGAAGGTAATAGTTTACAATTCAGGTTGGTAGAGAGATACAATTGAGGTGGGCAGCAAGATTCAATTTCTCAGCCCATAAACTTCCAAAGTGTGCTTGTAAGCCCTTTAACCTCCAGTTCATAGGTTAGAGCAATGTTAGAAAATCCCCTCATAGTAAAGCATCCTTGATTATAGCAACTCTAGGTTTGAACTTGTTCTTCAGTTCCTTGAGCTTAAGAAATGCTGAATGAGTTCAGCCTTTTGATTTTCCAACTCTAGCTCCTCGCACTTCGCAGCAAGTGCATGAGGTCCTCCTCAG